TTTTTGTAGTGAGTGCTAAATGGTGTGATTTCTTTCTGTAAGAATACAGATTCATTGCCTGCATGTCCTAAGTTTCTATTTTACTGGGGAGTTTTCTGGGAATGGGGTTCTTTCTTTTGCAATGTGTATCCACTTTTAGGCCTTCTAATTTAAAGGTTCAACTTCTCTCATCAGAATTCATTAACACTAGCCAGTTTTTTGAGTAGAGTAGCACTAACTTTCACTTTTCAGACCTAACCTAGGTGAACAGCCTGCTCATATTTGTGTTATCTCTGGGTCCTGTGATTAACAGCCTTACTTATCTGAGCTCCCCACTTCCCTCCCCTCCAGGCATAATATGGGTGAAAGATCACCTACTTCCTAAATTTATTCTGAACACTAGAGTCTGTTTTTGCCGTATTCTACTTGATCAACATTCCTGTTAACTTGAATGTCAGAGATTTAAATGTCTATTTCAAAGATTCTAGTGGTTCAAGGTGTGTTATATTCTCAGCAATAGCTTCTTCTCTAGTTTAACACCTAAACATCAATATGTGTAACCTGGAATGGTGGAACTTGTCTACATAGATAGATATATACCTTCTTTGTCTCCAAAAATAGACTAAAAAAGTAATAATAATCTGACTTGGAAAAGTCAAGTTATATTTTTTCATGAATAACTTCTTATAACTCTTCCTTTACCATATGGGTGCCTCACAGTTACTGCCAACTCTTTGTCTTTTTCTTAACCATAGAAGTGAATCTTCTGTTCAATATGATTAGAAAGTACCTTCATATACCATTCGCCATTTATCAGAAATCCATCAAAACAAACCTGGACATGGAGCACAAATAGTGCTATGATGAGTCTAACTACTACTGTGAGATCCTACACCTTCATTGGTCTAGGCTATGTGTTTAAGGTAGAGTTAGGGAGGAGAATATACAACTTAAGAAGTGATGGTGGACTTCCTTATGATCTTACACTAATAATATTGGAACAATTACAAAACTGCATCAATCAATCAATAGGTATTAGCATGTGTTTTTTGTTTTGTTTTGTTTGTTTTTTTACTACGCCAGTGGGTGAGTCAAAATGAGGAAATTGCACTTTAGTTTGGGGAAGAAACCTAATACAAACCAATCAAGAATAATTAACTGCTAAATTACTTGGTACAGACATACCTCAAAGATATTGTGGGTCAGTTCCAGACCACTGCAACAAAGTGAATATCGCAATAAAGCAAGTCACATAAATTTTTTGGTTTACTGGTGCATACAGAAGTTATGTTTACATTATACTGCAGTATTTTCAGTGTGCAACAGCATTATGAAAAAGTTTGATGTATTTTGAGAATTACCAAAATGTGACACACACAAAATGAGCACGTGTTGTTGAAAAAACGGTGCCAATAGACTTGCTGAATCCAAAGTTGCCACACACCTTCAATTTGTAAAAAATACAGTATCTGTGAAGCACAATAAAGTAATCGCGGCAAAATGAGGTGTGCCTATATTGTGTCATGCAAGAGGAATTCAGAGTAGCAAGAAAATAACTAACTAGACTTGGGCCAGTGAGTATGTCCTGAATAGCTAGAAAGAAGAATAGATATGTCTGAAGGGCGTAGGATGTTGGTAAAGACACAGAGAGGAAAAGACTCTATGAGTGGAGAAACCAGACTGTTCATGGAGGGTCTTAAGAGCTACACACAGAAATTTAGACTGGTTATGGTGGTCTTTATAGATGCTTGAAAAAGAAAGTAATGTAAGGAAAATAAGAACCAGAGTAAACTGTGTCATATGGACATTTTAAATCAAGTGTGTTTTCATAGCAACCTTTGTTTTTCATCTATTCTAATATTCACTGTCTTTATAAGGGATAATGATTATTACTGTTTGCATAAATTGTTTGAACTTGAGTTTCGTTTTAGAAATAGAATTCCAGATGAAACAAGCAAGCCTTCTCTTTCTTTTTAAAGGGACTCTCAACCCTGCTCTAATCCCCAGAGTCTGTACCTAACAAATCACACTCAGTCACCCTAAATTCTATTTAAATGCCACATGTTCCTATTTTAGGCCTATAAACAAGCCTAAGAATTTTTCGGTATTACTCTAGTTGTTTGAAATTCTAGTAACTATATTTTATGTGGTCCCTAATCAGCTCCCAGATTACTCTACCATTAAAGACAAAACCTTGGCCTGTAGATATTTCAGATGTGATATAGTAGGCAGATGGGTAGAAACTTGTGGATTTGCTTAATAGTATCTTATAAATATTTTATGTTCGGAAGAAACATTTTCTTATTAAAACCTTGGAAAGGAGAGACTGGATCTATGTGTTAGGAATATCTAGACTGGTTTAGATCGACTTGAAAATACACTTAAAACATTCTTTCAATAAACCTTTAAGTGTTAAATTTTGTGCTAGCAGTGTTAACACTACGCTAGGTGCTAAACTACCTACTACAGAGGAGGAAGGGTGGTTACCAACATTAACTGAACATCTGCTCCATGCCTGCCACTGATAAGAGATTTATATAAAGTGTATCATTTAATTCTCATAATAATTCTTTGATGAGGGCAGTATTAATACCTTTTGCATGGGTGAAAAGCAAACAAACAAAAAAAGAATACCTGAGACACACACAGAAACGTTAATTAACTTCCCTGGGGTTCCAGGGCTAGGAAGTGATAGAATCTGATTTTCAATTCAAAATCATGGTGTGTCTGACCTCAAAGGCTGTATTCTTTCCTCTGTGTCAGGCTGTAACCAAAAAGACATAACTCTATTCTTTCTTATAATCTAATAAGAAAACTGAGAAGTATCCAAAAAGGCTCTTTGTATAGCTTCAGATAAGGAAGAGAAACATCCAGTTGGTATAATCCATGAAGTCTTCAAGAAGGAGGTAGAAGTTGACCTAGGTTTTAAAGGCTGATGGAGGATAGGGAACTCATTTTTTGAGTATCTACTGGATTCACCATAGTAAGTTCTTCACACAGATTATTTTATTTAATGCACAGCTCAGGATTGAAAATACTTGGTCTGTTTCATGGATGAAAAATGTGAGACTGAAAGGAAAAAGCCAGTTGCTGAAGGCTCTACATGTAATGCTTGCTAGAGTGAGGAATTCCTGGGTGGTGCAAATGGCTAAGCACTAGACTACTAACTGAAAGGTTGGTGGTTCAAACTTACCCAGAGGGACCTCAGAAGACAGGCCTGGCAGTATGCTTCTAAAAGGTCATGGCCTTGAAAACTCCATGAAGCAGTTCAACTCAATGGCAACTAACAATACTAACAACAACAAGAGTGAGGGTTGTTGTTGTTGTTATGTGCTATTGAGTCAGACCCGACTTACAGCGACCCCCCTTTGGGTTTCCAAGGTAGTATCACTACAGAAGTAGATTGCCCAAACCTTCCTTCCAAGGAGTGGCTGGTGGGTTTGAACCTCTAGGCTTCTGGTTAGCAGTCAAGTGCCTTAGGCACTACGTCACCAGAGCTCCTAGAGTGAGGGTGGGTAGGTTTGAATGAGCTTTGTCATCCCTGGCAGAGGGATGGGATGGCAAAGGTAAAGATCTAAGAAGTCTAGCATGTTCAGGAAACATTAAGGAACCTGTTTGTCCTGGGTTCAAGGAGAGATGGAAAGGAATACTGAAAAGGTAGTTTGGAGCCAGAATTATAAAGAACCTAGACTGACAAGGCTTAAGAAATTTGTGTTTACTTGATAGGACATTAGGGCCTACGGATTACTCGGAGCAAGCAGTTGAGAGGCAGACTCTGTCAAACTTGTGCAATTGGTTAGAAGAGGAAATCAGTTACTGTACTGCTTCAAAAATTAGAAGTCAGAGGGACATGAAGAGATGGGAGAAAAGGAAAATAGGAATTTTGTTTGGGCAGTTCAAACCCACCAGCCACTCCTCAGAAGGAAGACTGAGCAATCCACTTCCGTAAAGATACTGCCTTGGAAACCAGAAAGGGTTGCTATGAGTTGGGACCAACTTGATGGCAGTGAGTTTGATTTTTGGTTTGGTATCTCCTTTGCACCTGTTATTTTGTAACTTGTAAGTGTGTTCCTTAGATTATTAAGATGGTGCAAACGTTTATCTCATTTGACTGCTAACTGAAAGTTTGAGGGTTCAAGTCTACCCAGAGCTGCCTTGTAGGAAAGGCCTTGCATCCTACTTCTGAAAAAGCCTTAGAAAACTCTGGAGCACAGTTCTACTCTGACACACATGGGGTTGCCAAGAGTCAGAATCTACTCAACAGCAACTGGTAGTGGTGGTGGTTGTGGTGGACTATTAAAGGAACTCCTAATATGGAAATTGCTTTCGAAGTGCGACCTTACCCTACTGTCAGATTCTGCCTTCCTTCCTGAGCTATTTTAGGCTCCCCACAGTCTTTGGGATTCTCCTTTTCCCTGAACCTTAAAGGACTCTAGACTTTTCTTTGACTTCAGGTATCTTCCTACTCTTACCAGCCTTCATGTAAAATTCTGATTTTCCAGGGAAGTCTCATTGGTTTGCATTATCAAAGCAAAATTACTTTTCTCTGGAAAGTAAATGCAAAGACAAGAATCCTCCAAGCAACTCTGCTTATCATTTAATGCACACACACACATGCACATGCACACACACAGTTTAATATGCTGCCTCTTTGTAGAGTAAACTTGTGCTTAACACTTTTCTTCAAAACTATGATCCCCAAATTCACTGTGTTGTCCTTTGGAACTTTGGGAGAACAAGGGGTTAATGTTCAGTATCAGTGAGCTTCTCATGCTGTCTGGCCTTTGCAGCTGATAGATGTTTTACTTTGGCCTTATAAAGACATTTTACCCGCTGGAAACCCTTGTCGCATGACAGGATCAAAAATAGCCCGGCTTCAGCCCCTGCTGTCCATCACCACATGTAAACTAGCATGAGGGCAAGCACTCTTAGCCGTGTCCCCACACTGTGGGCAAGGCAACCTCCAGGGACAGTGTTTCCTAAAGCCACACCTGTTGGTACAAGTGAGTCAGCCACCTGACCTGCAGAAAAGTTTAGAGTGTGTAGACGACCACATGTCTGGTTTCTGACAAGCCATAAAGAACATCTCTAAGTGTCCCCAGAAGCACTTTGATGACGTCGTTTCCCTGGCACTGGGAAAGATCTACAAGTCTAGCAAAACTTAGAATATTTTTGTCACTGAGGTTAAAGTTCACTACCTTCTGTGACAAATAGATCTTTTCCTGTAGATGTTCATTAATGAGTGCTTGTAGTGAAATGCTAGGAAGGCAAAGCAAAGTCAGTGTTTTGAAAATCGGAATGCAGAACTCCCAGGTTTGAGTTTTTTCATGTTTAAAGTTTGTCACTTGTGCTTGTACTTCTTAAAAGTTTTTGGGGTTTGCCAACAACCACATGACATCTCTAGTATCGTACTTTTAGAAATCCAGGGTTTTGTGATGGTGATTACATTAAAGAAAGATGAAAATGAGTCAAATATTGGTGATCGTGTTTTAAATGGGCAATAATGGATCGCAGCAGTGAGAATTGATATGCATGACCCTTTTTTTTTTTTTTTTTAAAACCCCTTGGGTTTTTTTTTTTTTTTTTTTAACCAAATTAACTTTAAGTAAGGTCATTGGTATCTGCCTTGTCTGTGATCTGTGAATGTATCATTTGAAAAGATACTTGATTTTCTTTCATTTTCTTGAACTTTTTGCAGGATAATAGAAGGATAGAATTGATTTGTACAAAATATCTACTAACAGGGCAGAATACAAACCAATATGCTAATTAATCTATATCTATGGATTTGGAAGATAAAATAGAGCTAATGGATATGCAAAAAGAAAAATGTTTCCTAATTCATAAAACTATATAAACCATCTAAGTTTATAATAATTTTGAAGATATTTAGTATTTCCCTGTCCTTCCCTTTCCCTCAACCTCATTGTTTCCCAAAACCCCTTCTGTCTGTCTTGCATAGAGATAAACAAGCTGGCTGACCCTCAGTTGCCTGCTAGTCAAACAGGTTTGATTGACCTCTGTGTCCTTATGAACTTTATGGGGAAAACAGAAAAGAAAGAAAGAAAGTGTGCTGCACCTCTCTTTGGGAATCACTGCCATGAATGTTAATAGCATTTCTGTAGCTTCCCACAACAGCCTCTTGTGACGGAGTGAGCTGCACTACAGTTCGTTTGAGAAGTGTGATTCTGCTGTGTTTACCACACTTGTGAACTTTTAAACTCCTTTTTTATTTTGTCGCCTGCTTCTTTTTTTGTATTATTATTTTTAATAAGGGTGACTGAGGTTGCAGAGAGATTAATGTGTGCTGAGTCTGCCTAGTAATTTCAAGTAGGGTTGCCATGATAAGAAACATATACCATTTAAGCCAAATATTTTGCTGAAATTTGTTTTCTTTTTGACAAACTGGCCTTTGCCCCACAAAATTGAATGATCATGGATCACCTTGGAGTCCTACATTTCACTGCTAAGAATTTTTTCCATTCAGTAAACATTGTTCTTTTGTGAACTAATTACAAAATTGTCTAAAGCCTTAGCCAGTTACACATTTATTAAGTGCTATATGCATAACCTTCATGAGCCTTGAGTTATTTTCCAAACTTCAGATAAATGATTTTTAATGGCTCTAAATAATCATAAATTAGAATTCTATTTGGGGGGATTGCATAGCATGATATTTTTATTGGGACTGAATTCTTTTTGGACGCTGCATGACTTTGGCTCCTGCCAGAGGATTTTCAATGAACCACTGGAAAGAAAGGAGATATTGTGGCAACCCTATGCTCGTAATAACCACTAAATTTGAGTTTGACTTATTTCTGGACAATGAATGCTACAGAGAAGAGGTAATGGCTGCCTGACTCTGTTTTCCATTTCTCAACAGGATACCTGCCCACTATGTCTATCCGCAGGCTTTTGTGCAGCCTGGAGTTGTAATTCCTCATGTCCAGCCGACAGCAGCTGCTGCCTCTACCACACCATACATTGATTACACTGGAGCTGCTTACGCACAGTACTCAGCGGCAGCAGCTGCTGCTGCTGCCGCTGCTGCCTATGACCAGTACCCCTATGCAGCCTCTCCAGCTGCTGCAGGATATGTCACCGCTGGGGGCTATGGTTACGCAGTCCAGCAGCCAATCACCGCAGCGGCACCTGGGACAGCTGCAGCCGCTGCTGCAGCAGCTGCTGCTGCTGCAGCCTTTGGCCAGTATCAGCCTCAGCAGCTGCAAACAGACCGAATGCAATAGGCCAGCCATCTGATCAAAGTTGAATTGTTCTCTCTTCCCCCTCCCCCCCCCAATTCTCCAATTTTCAGTAGGTAATGAGAGTGTTAACATTGACTTAACGGCTTAAGGAAAAAAGAAAAAGAAAAAAAAAATAGCTATGCTATTGCAAAGCAGAATTTTTTTTTGATACTGTAGTAGTGTTCCTGGGTGACCAAGAGGTGAGAATGAGACGAGTAGGCGCCAAGTTTAGAAATCAGTCCCAGAGACTCTGAGTCAACTGAAAGGCCGCCGCGAATTGATGGCAGGAGTAGCAGTGGAACTTCACTTTTATAATGGGGTTTTTATTTTTGCTCTTTTTATAGTATCAGGGAAGCAAACTGCCTTTTACAAGTTAGGAAATGCTGTTTGAATCTAGTTGAACCAGGGAATACAGAGTGAGCAATATATAGCTTGAATTACCTTTAAAAGTAGATTTTTTAAACAAAGTGTTTGAAAGCACTGATTGTCATTTTTAGCAGTCACTATGGCCTATAGAACTTTTTCCAGTAAGAAGGTAATGTTCTTACTATCTCAAAAATGGGCATCGAACAATCAATCTAGGAGTGTGGCGGTGGGTGAAATGGTGGACAGGCACCAAAGCTATTTTCTCATCTGTCCTCGGGATGAGTGGAACTGTGGAGCAAGTGATGTGGAAATAATGGGTGCAACAGCTGTACAGACAATCAATAACACACAGTTCTGGAAAGAACACATCACTTGTGCTTGTTTGATGAGCTTGTCACATTCTAATCCCTCTCCCCATCCTGTTTCAATTTTGGGAAACTTGTATCTGCTGGTGTCAGCAATTCTGATTCTGAAATAGGATCAGGCATTTACTACAACAGCCTTCTCTTTCTATTTATTGTGTCGACTCATGGCTTACAAATAAAGGCAGGCAAAGTTTGCAGACTCTAAATCCTTAAGAACTGTCTTAAGGGCATTTATTTTTTTCCCCTTTTTAAATAATTTTACACTTTTAGTATCTATTTCAGAGTCATATTTAAAACTATTTATTAGTGAATACAGTACATGAGACAACAAGGTTACTGAGATTACAATTCTTCAAAGATTAATGATGATGTGGTTTATACTGTGCCTTAATAGTAATGCTATTTAAGATATTTATTTTTAAGTTTTACTATGCTGCACTCTAAAGAAAGGAACTTTAGATGTGACACTGTAAAATTATGTATTCATCTCATGGCATAAATTATTTAGTAGGTCTAGATGTAGCGTATTAAATATTAACCTATTCAATGAAAGATGTTGACTTGGATTTATTTAAATTTATATGTGCACTGTAAAAGAGAGTACTCTTACATTAACACATTTTAGTTTATTTTAGGTTTTTTATAACAGGCTATATTGCTAGTTTCGTGCTTCCTTCTCTGATTTTTGCTTGTGTAGATCTCATTTTTTGGTAACTCATTAGTCTAACACTCTTCTTCTGTAGTTTTTAAATGCTGCTTTACATTTTTCTTCTGAAACTGCAATACTTGCAATTTTTATTCTTAAACTAAATTGAATACTATTTTACACTGTATTGGATTTTTATACTTGAACAATTTCATACAAGGGAAGACAGGTTAGCATTTTTATGGACTTTTCTCCATTATCACTGGATTGACTTTAAGTATTCCCATACTAGACAGTGTTATATAATGTAGACATGACTCTCCTGTGCAAATTATTTATTCATTGTGTATATTGCTTTATAACATTTCAGATCTTCTAATCTATTCACTTGTATTAAATATAATTTTTAAAAACTTTGTTGCATTGATTGTTTCTAATTATATAGTAAAGGTGAACGATTTCTCCTTTTAACTATAATTAATAGCCCATGATTTACATGTAACATTTTCCGTGAACATGAAGTTTCCTGGTACCCTGTTTTTAAACCTTTCAAGTGAATTTCTTTAACTCAGCATCTACATTCTATTTAACAAATGAACCCTAAAAGACTATTCATATCACTGAAATTTGGTTATGTGAAGATTTTTTGGAAGGAGTGGTCTAGAGAGACGACCAGGAATCCCTGAATAGTGTAAACAATTAACATACATAGCTGCTAAGTGGAAGATGGAAGGTTCAAGTTCACCCAGGGGTGTCTTGGAAGAAAGACCTGGCAATCTGCTTCTGAAAAATCAGCCACTGAGCACCCCATGTAGCACAAATCTACTCGGATACACATGTAGTTGCCACAAGTCAAGAGTCTACAGGATGGCAACCAATTTGAAGAGGGGACTTGAAGCTGGAGTAGCTGAGTGGTGCTGGAGTCATGTAAACTGAGGGTTATGGCTGGATTCTACCACTTGCTTGCAGTGTGAACTGAGGAAAAAGAAATCTTGTGATCCACCTTTTTAGTGATGTTTTTATGGATTTCTCATCAATATTATATATTGAGACAATAGTACTCATCTCACATGGTTATTTAAATAACATAAAGTACAAAAACTACGTGGCATAGAACTAGCTATATAGTAAGCATTTGATAAATGATCACTCGTAGTAATAGTAGGTGCAATGCCCTGTAATGAAGCTAACCAAGAAGGAAGTATTGGGATATTTTCATTTTTGTGTGTGTGTCTGCCCACAGGGATGTGGCAATGTCTAATAAGGTGTGTATTGGCATGTCAGATGATTGACTTCCATATTGTCCTAAAGTGAGTAAGTTAGGTTAATTACAGAATGGGTAGTTTGTTGACCTCTTGGTTTTAATATTTCTCAAATCCACAACAAAGCATCTTTATTGGACTCACATTAGTTTTCAAAAATTATATGCAACAGAACATTGTACTAATAGATGTCATCATATTTTTTTACTTTATGATAACTGTCATCCTATTTGGAACCATCACAATTTTAAAACTTTAATTGCCTTTAATTTTCCATAGAAAAATAGATACCACTTTACCTCCAAAAAGATACTATTGCACCCTGAGGTATTATCTTTGGTCAGTAAAATAACTTAATGTGTTAATTAAATCAGTCAATGCATTAATGATTACTTTTATTCTAAAAAGTAGTTTTGGTTTCAATTTTTTTGGGTTTATGAAAGGTCACATTTGTCTTTAATAAGCTGTACATTGTTGAGCTTTAAAATGAAATATTAATTGGTTTATCAATTTAGCATTTTAGGTCAGATAGTTCTGGGAAAAGTTTGTGAAAAGTAACCATACTCAGGAAAGTCAAAAAGTCCACCTCTCTTCACTGTACCTTTCTTGGTAATGTTTCCTGCTCTGTACAAGTATCAACATTAGCAATTGTAAGAGGGTAAGATGTTTACATTATTATGCCAAAGCATAACACAAATTTATTTTTTTAAAAAAATTTGTCATATCTAATGAAATGACAATAACTACATTGGTTAAGTAGGCTACTGGTATTTTTCAAAAATTATTATTTTATTGTGTTTAAGGTGAAAGTTTGCACAGCAAATTAAGTTCTCACTTAACAGTTTCCTACACAAATTATTCAGTGATACTGGTTATGTTTTTCACCATGTCTCCTCATCCTCATTCATTCCATTCCTATGGTACTGTTTCCAGTGCTCTGGTTTCCCTGTCACCTTACCTTCTTATCTTTGCTTTAGAGTTATTTTTGACCATTTGGTCTCCTACAGATGATTTTTTAAGGGACCTCATTACTCATGGGTGATGTTCTTTATTTTATGAGCCAATCTGTTTATTAGCTAAAAGATATACTCAAGGATGATTTCGATTAAAGGTTTAAAGTGTATCTCAGGGCTATAGGGAGTTTTCTAGTCTCAACCAGTGCAGTAAGTCTGGACTTTTTCAGAATTTGACTTCTGTTCTACATTTTCCTCCCATTCTCTAAGGATCCATCTATTGTGGCCTTTATCAGAACAATCAGTAATGGTAGCCAGGCACCATCTAGGGGACTTTAAGTTAGAGAAAGCAATGGGTCCGAGATTTAAAGAGGTGGGTGAGTCCTGGTTTCATTATTTAGCACCAGGGTGACCTTCAATCCTAAACTTGTAACATGTGAGATAGTATCCAACATAGTTGCTCTAGAGGGCTGCCTCTTAGGTTATACTAATTGAATAAATCAAGTGACGTAACAACATTTTAGAAATTCTAAAGCATTATGCAAGTGGAAATTATTACAGTAAAAAAATATATGCAGTAATAAGTTGCAAACTGATGTTAACTTTCTCATATTAAATGATCTTTCCAAAATCAAAAACCAAACCCATTGCCATCAAGTTGATTGCAACTCCCAGTGACCTTATTGGACAGAGTAGAACTGTCTCATGGGGTTTCCAAGGCTATAAATCTTTACAGAAGCAGCCTACTGTATCCTCCCACAGAGCAAACTGGTAGATTTGAACTGCTGACCTTTGGTTTGCAGGTGAATGCTTTAACCACTACCACCAGAGCTCCTTGATCTTTCCAAAAGAAGACAAAATTGTGTCTTGCAATGTTATCTTTATTCTCTCTCAAGTAAGTTAAACTTGCTGTACAAGAAGAACAGCACAAAAATAACACTGAAAGATGGAGAGATTGCCCAGATCAGGGAAGGAGGGGTAAATGAGAAGATTATGGAATACCTTTCTCTCACAGGGGAACTATATTTAGTTCCTTCCTCACTCCCTGTCAAATGTTGTTCTCTTAATTCCCTCTGAGGTTTGAGAGGTTTCATTAGGATGACAGCCTGAGGTTTGGAAGGGCAGAGGTGAAGAGGAACCAAAATAAATAAATAAATGCATCTGCATGCTTAGTTGTGTCCTCTGTTCTCCTTCAAGAGTTCCAGGCTATTTCTATGAAAATTTGAACTTTGTTTTGGTCTAAGCACTTGCTACAGAAGAGGTTTCATTTGTGGTATTTGTTCTAGGTTAAGTTTAAAAAGATCAATTATGATTTTAGTTAAATCATTTCAGTTCCCCACCACTCATCTGTCAGGAGCTCTGGTAGCATAGTGCGTAAGGCACTTGACTGCTCACCAGAAGGCTGGCGGTTCAAACCCACAGCCACTCCTCGGAAGGAAGGTTGGGCAATCTACTTCCGTAGTGATACTGCCTCGGAAACCCAAGGAGGGGTTGCTATGAGTCGGGGCCAACTCGATGGCACATAACAACAACAACAACAACAACAACACTCATCTGTCAGTTTATCATATTGCAGTTCTTGTGTGTTGCTGTGATTCTGGAAACTATACCACCAGTTTTCCAAATACCAGCAGGATTACCCATGGTGAACAGGTTTCAGCAGAGCTTCCACATTCAGACAGACTAGGAAGAAGGATGTGGTAGTCTGCTTCTGAAAACTGACCATGTAAACAAATTATGGATAATATTGTGAAGAATGGGAATTCCCGAACACTTAATTGTGCTCATAAGGAATTGTGCTATGAGGTACATAGACCAAGAAACAGTCATTTGAACAGACCAAGGGGATACTGCATGCTTTGAAATCAGGAAAGGTGTGTGTCAGGGTTGTATCCTTTCACCATACTTATTCAATTTGTATACTGAACAAATTATCTGAGAAACTAGACTATATGAAGAGGGATGCAGCATCAGGATTGAAGGAATACTCATGAACAGTCTGCAATATGCAGATTATACTTCAATACAAAACAAAAATCCTCACAACTTGACCAGTAAGCAACATCATGATAAATGGAGAAAAGATTGAAGTTGTCGAGGATTTCATTTTACATAGGTCCAACCAATACCCATGGAAGCAGCTGTCAAAAAATCAAAAACAATGACACAAAAATGTTATTCTCCATCCTACTTTGGTGAATAGTGACTGAGGTGTTGAAAGCTTGCAAGCATCCATCTAAAATACAACAATTGGTCTCTCCTCATCCAGAGCAAAGAAGAATGAAGAAAACTAAAACCACGTGGAAAAAATTAGTCCAAGTGGACCATGCTAACCTCAGCCAACATGACCCTGAGACAAGAAGAACTAGATGGTGCCCAGCTACCACTGTCAACCACTTGGAAAGAGATCAAAATAGGAGATCCTGGATAGAGTGGGAGAAAAACGTGGAACAAAACTCAAAATCATAAGAAAAAAAAAAAAGGCCAGGCTTAACGGTCTGATAGAGACCCAAGACTGGCCTGTAGTCACTCTTCAGGACCAGAATTGAACTCACTGCCATATCTTCCAGCCAAACAATAAACAGGTAGATAGGGTGAATGTTTACACCAAGTAGGTACACTCCTTAGAACAATCTACCACGGGAGATCAGAAGGGCAGTATTTGCACAGGAAGATAGCTCAGAGGACAGGAATGCATAGGAAAGAAGGATACAAGGAGAAGGTAACCACAGGGAGGAAATAGGAAGAGAGCTCTTACTCTATGGAGATTGCAATCAATGTCATAAAACAAAATGTATATGAACTGTTGAAAGGAAAATGAATTTGCACTGCAAACTTTCACCCAAATCACAAATGAAAAAGAAAGAAAACTCAAAGAAGTTATTGCATTGGGCAAATCTGTTGCAAAAGACTTCTTTAAAGTGTTAAAGAGCAAAGATGTCACTTTGAAGACTAAAATGTGGCTGACTCAAGCCACTGTATTTTCAATTGCCTCCTATGCATGTGAAAATGAATAAGGTAGACTGAAGAAGAATGGATGCATTTGAATTACAGTGTTGCAAAGAGTATTGAATATACCACAGACTGCCAGAAAAACAAATAAATCTGTTTTGGAAGAAACACAGTCAGAATGCTCCTTAGAAGCAAGGATGGCAAGACGTTATCTCTTGTACTTTGGTCATGTTGTCAGAAGGAGCC